TGGTGTATGGTAATGAACATCTCACAAGCGGTGACTCATTGAGGCGTTCAGAAAATTCGACTGCTTCCCCTCGGGATATTTTTGTCGTTAACACGCAATGTAAAGGAAATCTTAACAAACGCGTAGTGAAGACGATAGTATATTGATATAGTATACTTCTAACGATATTCAGAATGACCTGATAATAATATATGTTTTGTACTCTATCATATGTGTAGGTGTATTTGTGTGAATGTGTTATATATTAATGAATGGATGTACAAAAACCAGGGATATCGAAACTTAACAATGCGTGTACTGTTAACACCAACCAATCACACTTAAATTGTGATATGAATAAGACGTAATACGTTAACAAAAACAAACCGGTGGTATCGGGTTAGATTGGAAGAGCACAATAACCTAAGACCTGTGCAATGAGGAAGGACTTGACAGAGAATGCTGTTCAAACCCTTAGCGAACGATGTGTTAAATGTGTAGGATAACAGGTCCAAATTAAGACAATATGTTTTTGTTATCATATCAGGAGAATTTATCAAGTCACAAATATCTTGCAAAGTCGTTTAATATCACTTTCAGATAAATTGATATCGTTTTGTCTGTAAATAACAAGATATTTGTAGACCATGTCCATCGAATATATCCACCAGAATTGGAAATCAGGGACAAGACAGATTTTCTATATCAGTTGCTTAATTAGATTTTCCCTACAACAAAATATGGACAGCTTTACACCTAGCTGTATGTGAATTTTCCACTTCTGGAGAGCAAATACTCTGCTTCCGCTACCTATAGTGCTCACAAGTTGCTGTTGATTCGATATTCACGAATCTGTTCCAATGGTGACGATTTCTGATTTAGGGATATTCTATTTTCTGTTGGTTTCGGTCCTGTTATCATTTTGGAGCAAGCCATTATATACTTAGATTTACATGTTGGTGTCGTCGATGAACCAAAATACGTTTATTCATCTTGGTCTTAATGTCCTTGTACTTTTTCAGGAGACTCTATGTAAATTTTTCTTTTGTTCATATTTTACCCTTGTTTTATTGAGTTTGGATTACGGTTATGTTGAAATGTTGGCATTTTCTAGTTTTCTTTAAGTGAAAACTGTTTTACCTATATATTTGATATCTTAATTGTTATGCTTGGAATATTCGACAATTGTTATATGTGTATATTTCAATATGAAAAGATGATTATCGCTGTGTCGTAAGGGAATGTCAGTGTCCATTTATATCCAAATATATCATTTTCACGGGGTCGAAAACTACGTCATTAATTCTGCAAATAGACAAGCAACGGTGTTTGACAATAATATTTGAATATCAGTAAGATATTTAAGATAGTTTCAATATATTAGTCATACCTGTATAACAAATTCGGGAATAAAAAAGAAACAACTGACCAGTTGATATCAAAACAGCTGAAAAATCTAACAGAATTGATAAACAAAAGTGACAACTATCACGCTTGGTATCTATATATAGCAATAACATTTGATATGTTGGACATCAAACTGCAGAGGAAACTTATAGGACACCAAAATAACAGAACCAATTGACGGGTAAATGACTTCAAATTAACAGGAAAACACTGGACAGTGAAAAAACTAATTGACAAATTATCATATCAACAGAAAAGAACTGTTTGGCAGGACATTGAACCAACAGAAAAATATAATAATAATATTAATAATGATAAACTTTATTTATTGAGGATATAAAACAAGCCAACGGCTAATCTTCCTCATGGTCCTATGGTTAGTAAAATAATGTTAGTTAAAATCTACAAAGTTACATACATGAATCAAGTTTAAACTACAAACTACATATTAAACAACAATGGGATTTTAAACTACATCTTAGAAAAAAACAGATATTAATTAAAATTATCACAAAATGCCCCATTACTCATGCAAAAATTATTTCATCAAGTAAATGGCAGGTGCCTAATATACATACATGGTATTATAGCAAAACAGATAAAAATTGATATAGTTATACGCTAATATAGCATAGTCTTAAATTTAGGTCAATATGGTGGTAAAAAAGGTTGAATAAGAATGTCAAATATATCACAAAGAGATCTAAGACATAGATACAAGGTGTTGAATAAGTTTTCTTTTAAAAGTGGAAAAACAGTGCACATTCTTAATATCATTTGGTAAAATATTCCATTCTTTAATACTGTCAGTAAGAAATTGTTTAGAATAAAACAAAGTTCTATGTTTTGGCACTTGGAAATTGTTTTCAGAAGCATATCTAGTATTCCTGCAGTGACCATTCTGCACTAGTGATACAAATATAACAGGCGACACATGAAAACAGCAAAATAAATAAACAGACAACGGGCATCAAAAATACCGAAAAACAGGCAGGACAATGAAACAATGGCAAGGAAACCTAAGAGGCATGATATAAAAATAACCGAAGGTTTTAACAGACAAAGGGCATCAAAACAACGGGCAAAAAACAGTCAGGATACTTAAACAACAGTTAACAATAACAGACTGGACATAAAATCAACAGAAAGGAGCTAACACGTAGGACGCTAAAAGACTACAATAGACAGTCAGGACCACAAAAGACAGGTAGGACATTAAAAGACTACAATAGACAGTCAGGACCACAAAAGACAGGTAAGGACAATAAAAGACTACAATAGACAGTCAGGACCACAAAAGACAGGTAGGACATTAAAAGACTAAAATAGACAGTCAGGACTACAAAAGACAGGTAGGACATTAAAAGACTACAATAGACAGTCAGGACCACAAAAGACAGGTAGAACATTAGAAAACAGGACAAATTAACAAGATAAACTTTGAAGCAGCAGTAAACAAAGTACAGGCAGTATTTCAAAATGAATGAATAAAGGGGCAACAAGTCAGGATATTGAAACAACAGAAAAACAAAACCAAAAGGTAGGATAGTAAGTCAACTAACAGGCACGACATCAACACAACTGACAAAGCCTCTCAAGTGGGGTTTTAAAACTACAGAAAACAGGTAGGATACACAACAGTAAACACGAAATAGGCATTAAACAGTGACAAATGATGCCAAAATAAAAATTCAGTAAGAACATTGAAACAATAGCAAAAAAAAAGGAGAACAGGAAAAATTAACAGGCAGGACATGAAAACAAAAGTGAAACAACTGGAAGGCATGGCATCAAATCAATTGAGCCATTTAAAAGACAAACATCATTTTAACAGCAGGAAAAACAGTCAGGATATCGAAATAACAGGAAAAAAAATAAACAGGCAACACATCAAATCAACAGAAAGTAATTACTATACTGGACACCAAAAAATGACAGATTAAATTTAAAGGCATAGGGTCTCAAAACGTCGGGCAAACAGGATATTAAATCAACAAAAAAATAAACAAGCAGAACATAAGAAACAGAACAAATTGACAAGAAAGACATCAAAACAACAGAAATCATTTAACAGTCAGGACATCAAAAAACAGATATGATTTAACAGGCTGGACATTAAAACAACACAAGTAGGATATAGATTTGGCATCAAAAATACAATAAAAATAAAACACACGCGACAACAAACCAAAAGAGAGCATTCCAAATGCAGGACATAAAAAACCAAAGATACTGAACAAGTTGAACATTATAACAGTAAAATCATCCTGTGGACACCACAACATACACAAAAAAAAAAAAACCGGCAGAAATAACAGACAGGACAGAAAATTGACAGAAAACACAAGATATTTAAAAAAAAACACACACACAAAAAGGGCATCAAATCAGAAATCATTAAAAAGTCAGGACATCAAAACAACAGGAATCATTTAACAGTCGGGACATCAAAACAGAAATCATTCTACAGTCAGAACATTAAAACAGAAATCATTCTACAGTCAGAACATGAAAACAGAAATCATTCTACATTCAAGACATCAAAACAAAAATTATTCAACAGTCACGACATCAAAACAGAAATCATTCTACAGTCAGGACATGAAAAAAATCAATCAAGACGACAGAAAAAAAATGAACAAGCGGGACATAAAGACGGCAGAAAAGAAGCGAACAAAATGGACAACAAGACGACAGAAAAAAACGAACAAGCGGGACATCAAGACGACAAAAAAAAATGAACAAGCGGGACATCAAGACGACAGAAAAAAACGAACAAGCGGGACATCAAGACGACAGAAAAAAACGAACAAAAGGGACATCAAGACGACAGAAAAAAAACGAACAAACATGACAACAAGACGACAGAAAAAAAATGAACAAGCGGGACATCAAGACGAAAGAAAAAAAAGAAACAAGCGGTACATAAAGAAGACAGAAAAGAAACGAACAAAATGGACATCAAGACGACAAAAAAGCGAACAAAAGGGACATCAAGACGACAGAAAAAAATGAACAAGCGGGACATCAAGACGACAAATAAAAAATGAACAAGCGGGACATAAAGACGGCAGAAAAGAAGCGAACAAAATGGACAACAAGACGACAGAAAAAAACGAACAAGGGGGACATCAAGACGACAGAAAAAAAGCGAACAAGCGGGACATCAAGACGACAGAATAAAACGAACAAAAGGGAAATCAAGACGACAGAAAAAAAAAGCAACAAGCGCGACATCAAGACGACAGAAAAAAAAATGAACAAGCGGGACATAAAGACGACAGAAAAAAACCGAACAAATGTAACATCAAGACGACAGAAAAAAACGAACAAAAGTAACATCAAGACGACAGAAAAAAAAACGAACAAAAGAGACATCAAGACGACAAAAAAAACGAACAAGCGGGACATCAAGACAACAGAAAAAAGCAAAAAAATGAACAAGCGGGACATAAAGACAACAGAAAAAAAACGAACAAGCGCGAAATCAAGACGACAGAAAAAAACGAACCAGCTTGAAAACAAGCTCCAAAAACAAGATGACAGAAAATAAAACGAACAAAAGGGACATCAAGACGGCAGAAAAAAAGCGAACAAAAGGGACAACAAGACGGCAGAAAAAAAATGAACAAGCGGAACATCAAGACGACAAAGAAAGCAAAAAAATGAACAAGCGGAACGTGAAGACGAATAAAAGGGACATCAAGACGACAGAAAAAAATGAACAAGCGGGACATCAAGATGACAGAAAAAAACGAACAAGATTCAAAGCAAGATGACAAAAAGGAAAACGAACAAACGGGACATCAAGACGACAGAAAAAAAACGAACAGAAAAAAAATGAACAAGCGGGACATCAAGACGAGAGAAAAAAAATAAACAAGCGGTACATAAAGAAGACAGAAAAGAAACGAACAAAATGGACATCAAGACGACAAAAAAAGCGAACAAAAGGGACATCAAGACGACAGAAAAAAACAAAAAAGCGACGACAGAAAAAAAAACGAACAAAACGGACATAAAGAAGACAGAAAAAAGCGAACAAAAGGGACATCAAGACAACAAAAAAAAAACGAACAAGCGGGACATCAAGACGACAGAAAAAAAATGAACAAGCGGGACATAAAGACGACAGAAGAAAAACGAATAAACATGACATCAAGACGACAGAAAAAAAACCGAACAAAAGGGACATCAAGACGACAGAAAATAAAACGAACAAAAGGGACATCAAGACGACAGAATAAAACAGAACAAAAGGGACATCAAGACGACAGAAAAAAGCGAACAAAAGGGACATAAAGACAACAAAAAAAAGCGAACAAAAGGGACATCAAGACGACAGAAAACAAATGAACAAACGGGACATCAAGACGACAGAAAAAAATGAACAAGCGGGACATCAAGACGACAGAAAAAAACGAAAAAAGGGACATCAAGAACAGAAAAAAAAAACAAAAAGACATCAAGAGACGACAGAAAAAAAAAACGAACAAAAGCTGGAAATAAAGACGACAGATCAAAAACGAACAAACTTGACATAAAAATGAGAGAGAGAAACGAACAAGCGGGACATCGAGACGACAGAAAAAAAACGAACAAAAGAGACATCAAGACGACAAAAAAAAAACGAACAAGCGGGACATCAAGACAACAGAAAAAAGCAAAAAAATGAACAAGCGGGACATAAAGACGACAGATCAAAAACGAACAAAAGGGAAATCAAGACGACAGAAAAAAAAAGCAACAAGCGGGACATCAAGACGACAGAAAAAAAAATGAACAAGCGGGACATCAAGACGACAGAATAAAACAGAACAAAAGGGACATCAAGACGACAGAAAAAAAACGAACAAAAGTAACATCAAGACAACATAATCAAACAGAACAAAAGGGACATCAAGACAACAGAAAAAATAGAACAAGAGGGACATGAACAAAAACATGACATCAAGACGACAGAAAAAAGCGTAGAAAAGGGATATAAAGACAACAAAACAAAAAAGCGAACAAAAGGGACATCAAGACGACTAAAAAAAATAGCAAAAGTAACATCAAACGACAGAAAAAAAACCGAACAAACATGTAACATCAAGACTACATAAAAAAACGAACAAACGGGACATCAAGACGACAGAAAAAAAGCGAACAAAAGGGACAACAAGACGGCAGAAAAAAAGCGAACAAAAGGGATATCAAGACGGCAGAAAAAACGAACTAGCGGGACATAAAGACGACAAAAAAAGCGAACAAAAGGGACATCAAGACGACAGAACAAAAGCGAACAAACGAACAAAAGGGACATGAAGACGACAGAAAAAAATTACGAACAAACGGGACATCAAGACGAAAAAAGAAAAAAAAACGACAGAAAAAAATGAAAAAGCGGGAAATCAAGACGACAGAAAAAAAAAGCAACAAGCGGGACATCAAGACGACAGAAAAAAAAATGAACAAGCGGGACATAAAGACGACAGAAAAAAAACCGAACCAATGTAACATCAAGACGACAGAAAAAAACGAACAAGCGGGACATCAGGACGACAGAAAAAACGAACAAGCGGGACATCAAGACGACAGAAAATAAAACGAACAAAAGGGACATCAAGACGACAGAAAAAAACCGAACAAATGGGACATCAAGACGGCAGAAAAAAACGAACAAAAGTAACATCAAGATAACAGAAAAAGCGAACAAAAGGGACATCAAGACAACAAAAAAAAAGCGAACAAAAGGGACATCAAGACGACAAAAAAAGCGAACAAAAGGGACATCAAGACGACAGAAAAAAAACGAACAAAAGGGATATCAAGACGGCAGAAAAAAACGAACTAGTGGGACATCAAGACGACAGAAAACAAATGAACAAGCGGGACATCAAGACGACAGAAAAAAAATGAACAAGCGGCACATAACGACAGCAGAAAAGAAGCGAACAAGCGGGACAACAAGACGGTAGAAAAAACGAACAAGCGGCAAATCAAGACGACAGAAAAAAACGAACAAAAGGGACATCAAGACGACAGAAAAAAAGCGAACAAAAGGGACGTCAAGAACACAGAAAAAAACGAACAAAAGGGACATCAAGACGACAGAAAAAAATGAACAAGCGGGACATCAAGACGACAAATAAAAAATGAACAAGCGGGACATCAAGACGACAGAAAAAACGAACAAGCGGGACCTCAGAAATGAAATAAAGCGAACAAAAGACACGAGAAAACGAACCAACTTGACATGAAAATGAGAGAGAGAAACGAAAAAGCGGGAAATCAAGACGACAGAAAATAAAACGAACAAAAGGGACATCAAGACGACAGAAAAAAACCGAAGAAATGGGACATCAAGACGGCAGAAAAAAACAAAACGAACAAAAGGGACATCAAGACGACAGAAAAAAAAATGAACAAGCGGGACATCAAGACGACAGAAGAAAAACGAACAAACATGACATCAAGACGACAAATAAAAAATGAACAAAAACGACATCAAGACGACATAAAAAAACGAACAAGCGGGACCTCAGGACGACACGAAAAAACGAACGAAATGGACATAAAGACGACAGAAAAAAGCGAACAAAAGGGACATCAAGACGACAGAATAAAACAGAACAAAAGGGACATCAAGACGACAGAAAAAAAAGCGAACTAAAGGTATATCAGGCCGACAGAAAAAAACGAACAAGTGGGACATAAAGACGGCAGAAAAAAAAGAACAGAAGTAACATCAAGACGACAGAAAAAAAAACGAACAGCTTGACTTCAAGACGACAGAAAATAAAACGAACAAAAGGGATATCAAGACGACAGAGAAAAGCGAACAAAAGGGACATCAAGACAACAAAAAAAATCGAACAAAAGGGACATCAAGACGACAAAAAAAAAGCGAACAAAAGGGACATCAAGACGACAGAAAACAAATGAACAAAAGGGACATCAAGACGACAGAAAAAAACGAACAAAAACGACATCAAGAAAACAGACACAAAAATGAACAAACGGGACATCAAGACGACAGAAAAAAAATGAACAAGCGGGACATCAAGACGACAGAATAAAACGAACAAAAGGGACATCAAGACGACAGAAAAAAAGCGAACAAAAGGGATATCAAGACGACAGAATAAAACCGAACAAAAGGGACGTCAAGACGACAGAAAAAAGCGACTTAAAGGTATATCAGGACGACAGAAAAAAACGAACAAGCGGGACATCAAGACGACAGAAAAATAATCAACAAGCGGGACATCAAGACGACAGAAAAAACGAACAAGCGGGACATCAAGACGACAGAAAAAACGAACAAGCGGGAATTCAAGACGACAGAAAAAAAGCGAACAAAAGGGATATCAAGTCAACAGAAAAAAACGAACAAGGGGGACATCAAGACGACAGAAAAAAACGAACAAAAACGACATCAAGACGACAGAAAAAACGAAAGCGGGACATCAAGACGACAGAAAAAAAAACGAACAAATGGACATCAAGACGACAGAAAAAAACGAACAAAAGGGACATAAAGACGACAGGAAAGAGCAAACAAAAGGGACATCAAGACGACAGAAAACAAATGAACAAACGGGACATCAAGACGACAGAAAAAAAATGAACAAGCGGGACATCAAGACGACAGAAGAAAAACGAACAAACATGACATCAAGACGACAGAAAAAAACGAACCAGCTTGAAAGCAAGATGACAGAAAATAAAACGAACAAAAGGGACATCAAGACGGGACATCAAGACAACAGAAAAAATAGAACAAGCGGGACATCAAGACGACAGAAAAAAGCGAACAAAAGGGACATCAAGACGACAGAAAACAAATGAACAAGCGGGACATCAAGACGACAGAAAAAAAATGAACAAGCGGGACATAAAGACGACAGAAAAAAGCGAACAAAAGGGACATCAAGACGGCAGAAAAAAAACGAACAAGCGGGACATAAAGACGACAGAAAAAAAACGAACAAAAGTAACATCAAGACGGCAGAAAAAAAAGCGAACAAAAATGACAACAAGACGACAGAAAAAAACGAACAAAAGGGACATCAAGACGACAAATAAAAAATGAACAAAAACGACATCAAGACGACAGAAAAAAACGAACAAAAGGGACATCAAGACGACAAAAAAAAGCGAACAAATGGGACATCAAGACGACGGGAAAAAAGCGAACAAAAGGGACATCAAGACGACAGAAAAAAAAACGAACAAATGTAACATCAAGACTACAGAAAAAACGAACAAAAGAGACATCAAGACGACAGAAAAAAAAACCGAACAAATGTAACATCAATACGACAGAAAAAAAGCGAACAAAAGGGACATCAAGACGACAGAAAAAAACGAACAAAAGGGACATCAAGACGGGACATCAAGACGACAGAAAACAAATGAACAAGCGGGACATCAAGACGACAGAAAAAAAATGAACAAAAGAGACATCAAGACGACCAAAAAAAAAAAACGAACAAAAGGGACATCAAAGAGACAAAAAAAACGAACAAAAGGGACATCAAGACGACAAAAAAAACACCGAAAAAAAGGGACATCAAGACGACAGAAAAAAAAGCAACAAGCGGGACATCAAGACGACAGAAAATAATCAACAAGCGGGACATCAAGACGACAGAAAAAAAGCGAACAAAAGTAACATAAAGACGACAGAAAAAAACGAACAAAATTAACATCAAGACCGCAGAAAAAAGCGAACAAAAGGGACATCAAGACGGCAGAAAAAAACGAACAAGCGGGACATCAAGACGACAGAAAAAAAAACGAATAAATGTAACATCAAGACGATAGAAAAAAACGAACAAGCGGGACATCAGGACGACCAAAAGAAAACGAACAAAAGAGACATCAAGACGACAAAAAAAAACGAACAAAAGGGACATCAGAAATGAAATAAAGCGAACAAAAGAAACATAACACGACAGAAAAAAAACCGAACAAAAGCAACATCAAGACAACAGGAAAAAACGAACAAAAGTAACATCAAGACGGCAGAAAAAAGCGAACAAAAGAGACATCAAGACGGCAGAAAAAGCGAACAAGGGGGACATCAAGACGACAGAAAAAAACGAACAAGCGGGACATCAAGACAACAGAAAAAAACCAAACAAATGTAACATCAAGACTACAGAAAAAAAACGAACAAGCGGGACATCAAGACGACACGAAAAAAGCGAACAAAAGGGATATCAAGACGACAGATTAAAACCGAACAAAAGGGACATCAAGACGACAGAAAAAAACCAGAACAAAAGCGGGACATCAAGACGACAGAAAAGAATCAACAAGCGGGACATCAAGACGACAGAAAAAAAGCGAACAAAAGTAACATAAAGACGGCAGAAAAAAAACGAACCAGCTTGAAAGCAAGATGACAGAAAATAAAACGAACAAAAGGGACATCAAGACGACAGAAGAAAAACGAACAAACATGACAACAAGACGACAGAAAAAAACGAACAAAAGGGACATCAAGACGACAAATAAAAAATGAACAAAAACGACATCAAGACGACAGAAAAAAACGAACAAGCGGGACATCAAGACGACAGAAAAAAAACGAACAAAAGAGACATCAAGACGACAAAAAAAAACGAACAAAAGTAACATAAAGACGACAGAAAAAAACCCGAACAAAAGCAACATCAAGACGACAGAAAAAACGAACAAGCGGGACCTCAGACGAATGAAAAAACGAAACGACATATAAATGAAAAGTTACATCAAGACGACAGAAAAAAAACGAACCAGCTTGACATCAAGACGACAGAATAAAACAGAACAAAAGGGACATCAAGACGACAGAAAAAAAGCGAACTAAAGGGACATCAGGACGACAGAAAAAAACGAACAAGTGGGACATAAAGACGGCAGAAAAAAAACGAACCAGCTTGAAAGCAAGATGACAGAAAATAAAACGAACAAAAGGGACATCAAGACGACAGAAAAAAAATGAACAAGCGGGACATCAAGACGACAGAAGAAAAACGAACAAACATGACATCAAGACGACAGAATAAAACCAAACAAAATTGACATCAAAACGACAGAAAAAAACGAACAAAAACGAAATCAAGACGACAGAATAAAACCAAACAAAATTGACATCAAGACGACAGAAAAAAAAGCGAACAAAAGGGATATCAAGACGGCAGAAAAAAACGAACTAGCGGGACATCAAGATGACAAAAAAAATCAACAAGCGGGACATCAAGACGACAGAAAAAAAGCGAACAAAAGGGATATCAAGACGACAGAAAAAAAACGAACAAAAGTAACATCAAGACAACAGAAAAAATAGAACAAGCGGGACATCAAGACGACAGAAAAAAGCGAACAAAAGGGACATCAAGACGACAGAAAAAACGAACAAAAGAGACATCAAGACGACAAAAAAATTAAACAAGCGGGATATCAACACGACAGAAAAAAATGAACAAGCG